TTAAACTGATCATACTGGGCTCGAACCACTGACCCCCTGGGTTAAACTGATCATACTGGGCTCGAACCACTGACCCCCTGGATTAAACTGATCATACTGGGCTCGAACCACTGACCCCCTGGATTAAACTGATCATACTGGGCTCGAACCACTGACCCCCTGCTTGACACGCGGCGGATCCACTGAATAAATCATCATAAACACGCTCCCGTTAAGCTGATGGTCAATGTAGGCGCAAACTCTGCGGCGACGCTTTTCAACAGATGCAGAAACTCTGCTCAGGTGAAACGCTTTTTTACTTTGAAATGTACAAATAAATAAATAAATAAAGTTATTTCTCCCATAGAACTGTAAAAGTAGGCGGATGGAGCACCTTTTTCTTATAACTGTGCAAACCCCCTCTGTGTGTCCTGCAGTTTTGTTTTTTTGGAAGTGACACATTTTGTTTTTTTTTCCGCGCAGCGACGCGTCCGCTCCAAAAGCAAACGCGCACAATAAAGCAGAAAAGCGGTTACTTACTTTTGACTTCTTCATATGGAATGACACGAGTAAATCCAGTGCGTGTGAAAGCCTATTTTATTTTACTTCTGCGGAGAGGGAAGTGGTTCTCGTCATCCTGTGCGCACATATCTAAAGCCTGAACCAGCGGTATCCACGCGGAGAAAAGCGCCCTGAGGAGACGGACAGCCACCAGTAGAACGATAATGTCAATTTTAATACTAAGCTCAACGTGTGCAAGCTTCAGGCTGTGAGGCACGCACAGCCCGACTGCAGCATAGATCCAGACTGTGCGCGCTGCGGGAACAGGAAGGGAGTTAAAGCTTTATAATGGCGCGCACGAAGCAGCGAGAGGCGCAGAAGAGCCGCCCTCCTGACGAGCCGCCATCATTTTACTGCCAACACAAAACGAGCACAGGTTGCTCAACTTTCTGTTTGTCATCATGTTTTTACACGTTGCCCATCAATGGATGAAAGCTCAAAAGGGATCAAATCACTCAGAGGCTTGAATTTATTCTAAGAGAGGAAGAAACAGACAGGAATAGAAAAGGAGCAAGGTGTGTGCCACCAGATTCATGATTGCTGTCACAAATAAATATCCAAGCACACACAGGACTTCTAAGTTTAACGTATACTTTTTTCATAATGACAGTCTGAGTCCTGGACACAGAATATGTTTTAGATGCTTTAATTGTGATGAAAAATAATATATACAACATTTTTCAGTCAGCTCATCTGGACAGTTTATTTTATTTTTTTGTGCTGAAACGTTTCGCCTTCGGTCCGGAAGGCTTCGTCAGTCAAGGAAACACGCAACAAAACTGAAAACTCAGTGTGGAAAAATGTTGGATTGTATAACCTGGATTATTGAGCATGGACTTTGTTGTTTTCAACCAGTTTGACAAGACTGTCAACAAGGAAGAGGGCAGGCAATGGAGGAGGACCGTCTTATCACAAGCAGAACTGGTTTGTTCCACTTTGGAGCAAGCTGTTGGGGGAAGAATCAGTTTTGTTGTGTGTTTCCTTGACTGATGAAGCCTTCTGGATCGAAGGCGAAACGTTTCAGCACAAAAAAAAAAAAAAAAGAAACTGTCCAGATGACCTGACTGAAAAATGTTGGATTGTACACCTGGATTATTGAGCATGGACTTTGTTGAAAAATAATATAGTTGCTTATTGAAGAGGGATGTGCTCTTTTTGTGTTGATTTTGGGGTGTTTTCAGTCATGGGCCCTAAACTCTGGAAACATTCAGGCCACCCCAGTCTCTGCTTTTAAATCTCTCCTCAGAACGCATCTGTACTCGATGGCGTTTAACACAGTGTGATCTCATTTGGTATTTCATTGTTGATGATTGTGTTCATCCATTTTGCTTTTACTCCCTGACATTTAACGCAGCGTGATTTGATTTAGTATTTCATTGTTTCTAATTATATTTCATGTTTTTATGCTTTTATTCCTGATGCTGTAATATCTTGTTATTAATATTTGATGCTGCGATCTTTTATTTTTTATTTTTGGTAAGCACTTTGATAACAGTTACTGTTTTAAATGTGCTATATAAATAAATGTGACTTGACTTGATTTTGCATTAAGACACAAAGCCTAAAATATTTACACACCTCTTGTCTAGAACATTCACAATATCAAGTATGAAACGAACAGGGACGGTCCTAGCCTGTTTGGTGCCCTGGGCGGATAACCCCACCCCAACACCCTGGGTACGCTGACAAGCTTCTTTGTGCTATATCATTTAGATTACCATGTACTATCACAGACACCCAGAGGTTTTTTTTTTTATATATTATTCAAAAACTAGAAATTGAGGAAACTAGAATAAACCCACAGAGTAAGAAACATAAATACTGTATACCATGAATTTAAAAGTATACAATACACATATAAAAAAAAGAACTGTAGAAAAAAATCCAGTTAAAATAAGACATTTCTGAATTACACCAATAGAAGAACACTTGAGAAAATCTGTGCACAACAATTGCACTTTGATTCAATTCAATTCAGTTTATTTATATAGCGCCAAATCACAACAAAGTTGTCCCAGGGCACGTTACAGGGACATTCACATACATAGAAAGGCCAATTAGTAAAGTTCTCTATCTAAGGAATCCAGCAGACACGTTGAATCTTGGCTTCGTTGCAGTCTCCCATCCTGAGCAAGCACAGTGGCAACAGTGGAAATGAAAAACTTTGATCAAGACACATTTTTTTCTGCACAACTAAGGAACATCTGAACCTTTTCTGAATAAGACAGTTTACAATATTGCACTTCAAGAAACACAAATTAAATTACACAACTGCCATGTAAAGTCTTACCCTTCTTTAAATATTTAAATCCACACTGTTACTTTTCTAACAAGGAATACAGATTAAACTGCACAACATAATGCCTTCCAGCTAGCTAACCGTCAACAATGGTGTACCACAAGGCTCAGTCTTAGGAACCACCCTCTTCACAATCTAAATAAGTGAGGTAGGTCAGATCTTTCCACATCCTTACATTTCTATACAGACGACAAAGTAGTTTATTGTCAAGCTGGAACAGGTAAGGTTTTTCAGCTCTTACAGTCTGCATTCAGCATCATCCAGTCAGATTTGTTCCGTCTCAAACTGGTGCCAAATGCTGACAAAACCAAAGGGATGTTGTTTTTCCTTCTATCTTATCAATGATTGGTGTTCCTATTAAGTTTGTTGATTCTTACAAATACTTGGGAATCTTGGTGGATTCACATCTCTCTTTTAATCATGTCAAAAGCTTGATAAAGAAATTTTAAAATAAAAGTTTTTTTGTTTGTTTTTTCAGATATAGATCCTGTCAGCTCTTAATGATAGGAAACATCTTGCTACTGATACTTTCTTTCCCTCCACTGACTGGTGACTTTATTTACATGAATGCTCCTGCAAACACTTTGCAGATGTTGGACACTGTCTATCACGGTGCACTAAGATTCATAACTTGCTGTAACTACCATACTCATGATTGCTCTCTGTATTCATTAGTCAAGTGGTCATCATAAACTTCACGCAGACTCTCACACTGATACGTTTTCATCTTTAAATCACTTCTTGGTCTGTTGCCTTTATACATCTCCTACATGTCCCTACGTGAGTTCAGCTACAGTGTGGGCTCTCAAGACATCATTACCTGCAGTGTTCCCTCAGTGTGGACTGAACTTGGCAAAAGTGCCTTCTCTTATATAAAAATAAGAGCAAATATAAAAAATTAAGTTCTAAAACAGGTCAGGTGCAGACAGAAACATTAAAGTGTTTATTGTAGTACTATGTGCAGAAAGGGGGAGGAGTTGAAAGTTTGATAGTCACAGGGAGGAAGGACTTCCTGTGTTGTTCTGTGGAGCACCTCGGTGGTCTCAGTCTACGACTGAAGGTGCTGCGGTAAGTGTCCAGGGTGTCATGCAGGGGGTGTGACGTGTTGTTCAGGATCTGGAGCAGGTTCCTCAGCATCCTCTGCTCAGACACCTCTGTCAGAGACTGCAGCTCCACTCCCAGAACTGAACCAAATCTCTTGATGAGCTTAATGAGTCTGTTGGCATCAGCGTTCTCCACCCTGCTGCCACAGCGTAGAAGATGCTGGAGACCATCATGCTATAGCCGACATAACATAACACCTGTCACGCTCCAAGAGATGACACGGCTGCATACCTTTACCTTTTACTCATTTCTCCTCTTCTTCTTTTCTCTTTTTCCTAAACTGGGCATGATGGCTTTGACCTGTTCTTGTCCGTCTTCCATGTGTGTAATTGGAACTCTCCCCAACATGAGTCGAAACAACTTGTAGGCCTAAACTAACTCACCTTCCTTCGTGTGCAGATTCGGCTCTGTATGATGTTTTCAGCGATTTCACACACAATAAGCTGTGAACGATTCGCTATATTCACAACATTATGAATGAAATTTGCTTCGTTTTGGAGCAATCAGTGGTGTGATTTACTTAGCAATTAGATGCATCCTTGGCCCAGCAAGGGAGACGAGAGCACCCCCCCCCCACCCCCATTCACAACCTGTGTGTCAGACCTCAGCACTAAGCTACACGCCCTGCACCTGGCGGAGGGCACCCACTCTCTAAAAGTGGGCAATAGGTAACTGATATGTAGGCTAAACAGACTATATGAAATAATGCATTTAATTTTTTTGAGGGGGAAGGCGGGGGCCAGGCGTTCATGCCGCCCTTGATGAGATGATGCCCTGAGCAGCTGCCTCTATCGCCCATGTCAGAAACCACCACTGCTAACATCCGACAAAGAACATTTTCAGCTAAAAAATATATTTTTATCCTAAGTGGTATTAATCTTAAATAGGTTGTGCTTTTTTTTTTTGTCAAAATTGACCCATTTGTAATATAAAAGTGTAAAACATCCAAGGGGATTAATGCTTTGTAGAGACACTGTGAAAGATTGCAATGATTTTACTACAGTATAACTGGCGTTGTGAGTCATCAGGACTCTGTAAAACAGCCTATTTGCAATTTCTTAATTTCCTGTGCACTTTGCTGATTTCCTTACATTTCATGTCAGCTGTTCGTTCATCAGCCTTCTTGCAACTTAGTCTGTTCTTTAGCCTTTTGGCTAACTCTGCCAACCACTTAAGCTCCAGGTGACCTCCTGCCCAGATTATCACCAGCTTCCCTCTTTCTCAACAAGTCCAGTCTGGATTCTTAATTGGTTGTAAGTCACATAAACTCCTTTTTCTGAGTTTTCAGAGTAGTTCTGCAGAAAAATCTGGAAAATCTGTGGATGACTGAGTCCACTCTCCTCTTTAGCTCCAGACATGCTATTTTTTTTCCACACCTTTCTTTCAATGTGTACCTTGATAGAACTCCAAGATTAAACAATTCTCTTATTCATTTCACTTACCGAGTACAGAAAAAGCATAACTTTTTAAATTGGGTCAGTTGAACATAATTAGACACTGGTTGTCTGTAACAAACATGTTTGAGATGTTATCACTGTCAAAACTTAGGTTAACACTTTAGCTTGGATTTGAACAAAGCCTTCTCAAATACTGCAATCAAAGCAAATCTTCTAAGCTCTGCAAGATAAAATAAATGTTTTTATATAACCATTTTAAGGCCTTTTTTATTTTCAGCCTTAGACTCAAACTGCTATTGATTTTTGTCAGAGCGACTGGTATGGGAGTTAAATTATGCATCGTCTTTGTCCACTGCTGTAATGTGGTTGATGCATAAGCAGCCAACCTCATACGACCCCACCTTAGAGCAACCAAACAATCCTTTTAACCCTTCAAACAAGTTCACCACAGAGATTATCATTAGTGCAACTGTTTGCTAATGATAATAAT